AGAAGAGGAAAAAGGAAAAGCAACACAGCAAGTGCTGTCAGTAGCCACGCTTGAAATCGCTTGAATGGGGGAAGGCTGGATTTGTGTATGGAAATAATGGAAGATAGTACGGGTCACGGATAGGCTGTGACTAGTCCATAACAGTCCTAACTTCCTTATCTTTCCTTTCGCTCTCTCATGAACTTAGTTGTTGTTTTGTTTGTTGTATATGCAAGCTACTATGTACTTTATGGGTGTATGGGTGTTTTGTAACTCACTCTCTCTCTCTCTCTCTCTCTCTCTCTCTCTCTCTCTCTCTCTCTCTCTCTCTCTCTCTTGGATTTTTCTTCTTGTTTTCGCTTGTTCTTCTTGTTTTCGCTTGTTCAGCAAACACACTCAAATCCATTGGTGCGGAGCATCTCTTGCTCACGACTGGGACAAATATATCCTCAACATGAAAGAGTGTCATGCAGGGAATCGGGCCCGACATCCCATTTCTCTCTCTACCTTGATTGGTTTGCTAGTTACTGTTTAGTTGTTACATCTTCGGTTTTTTTTTTTCCATATATTTGCTGAATGACCGTGTGGTGTTTTCTGATGTTGTACAGTTCTGACTTGCCTATAGGTGATACCGCCGAGATTCAGTCAAATGGTCTTTTTTTTTTTTTTTTTTTCTTTGGACCATTTCTCGAATTATTTGTGTCATCCTTGCGCAGGTGCTATGCTAATCTTCTCTGTATCGTTCCAATTTTAATGGATCTCACGAGGGACAGTCGAATGATGTTTTTAACTGTAGCAGCTTTGTGAAAATGTGATCCTCAGTTGCCCCCTGTAGGCAGCTAGAGCCTGAGGTGGAGGCTGTTTCGGTTTCTTGTCGATCTCCACCTTACCAGTTCCAATCTTGTCTTTTTTTTTTTTTTTTTTTTTTTTATCTTGTCTATTTCTATGCTTGCGGTAATAAGCAACAACTGGACTGCAGCCCCCAAGGACAGATGAGGCAAGTGTTCCCAAAGAAAAGAAGAAGGAGAAACTTAGAAAAAGAGAGAGAGAGAAGAAAAAAGGGAAAACTCACTTCCTTCATTTTTGAATTTAAATTTGAAGATTAGACTTTTCATCTCATCGTAGTTTACTCAACAACTTTACTGTCTGGCCCTGGAAAATGTTGCAGGCTGCACAGGTTGTCCTTTCTTCGGAGCTGTGTTGTGGTTTGCGATCCCACAGACAGAGGCCAAGCAGAGGCAGAGGCAGGCCATGTGGATTCCGTCAAATTTCAATCAACCGCTGCTCTGTCAAATCAAGCAGATGTGTCTCCGTACTCTCTCCCCAATTCTACTACTGCTTGCCGGTATCATATGTGGCGGAGATTGACACGGGCAGACTCATGTGCTCCGCTTGATGCAATCGTCTCACGTGCCAGCTGGAATGATTCTTCTAGGATCCTGCCGGCTGAAGGAGACGGGAGGAGCTACAGAGTTCAGACCTGTGAATTGGGCAGCAATGTGGTGCTGCCACGTGGACCATGGTTGATAGGTAGAAACTCGGGGACGAGTTTAAGTCGTCAGATCCTCCTTCCTTCGGTATGGACCTCACCGGGAAGGCGACATGGCTCCACTATGAGCGAAGGCAAAGGTAGGACATGGATGGGGGGAGGCCAAAGATCCCAGCTTATCCATGACTCGGATATGGCCGATGGCCATTTGGTTCTCAAGGGTGGTGGTGAATTGAAAGAAGCGTTCGAGAAATGGGAGAGTGTATCAAGCGCAGGGGTCACCAAAGTTTATCATAACGCTCAAGGAAAACAGTTTGCCTCTTGTCAAAGCCTTAACAGCTCAGAAGAGGGGGCCGAAAGAGTAGGAGGATGGGATGGGAACTGGGACAGCAACAGCACAGTGCAAGAGGCAGCACGCGCATCTCATGCGACTGGGGAGGGTACAGTCATGACATCATTTGATGCTGTAAGTGGAACATCCCATGTGCCCGTAGCTGCACCCTCAGTAGTCGATGCTGTGGCTGCAGGATTGGATGGAATCCACTCGTTGACTGGAGCGCCCTGGTTAGTAGCCGTTGCCTCCCTCTCTTTCTACCTTGGCTCTCTTTTTTCCMCCCTTTTTTTTTTTCTTTTTTTTTTTCTTTCGTCCCTTCCTGAATCTCCTTACCCTGCCATCCAATTGCTCGTTCCCTCTCTTTGCCAACTCCCTCCCTATCTCCTCTCCCTCTATACTACCCTCCGTTCTCCCTTCTTTTCCCTCCCTCCCTCCCTCCCTCCCTGCCTTGCTTGGCACCCCTTGTCCTGCTCTCCCTCGTTCCCTCGCGCTTTTCCTTTACTCCTTCTCCCTCCTCTCCCTGCAAATTGTCTGTTTCTCTCTCAGTCTGTTCGCTCTCCAATTTCTTCCCATCCTTCCCCTCCCTCCCCTGTCCTTCCCTTGCCTTTGTCCCCTCGTCTCCTAACTCTCTTTCCTTCCTCCCTTGTTCGTTCCTTTTCTTCCCACATTGCATCCCTCCCTCCCTTCCCCCCTCTCTCCCCCCTCTCC